CACACACACACACACACACACACACACGCACACACGCACACACGCACACACACACGCACACACGGCCACAGAGAGAGATACATGGCCTTTTCATTCCCTTCACTCCAGACCTGCCTCTGTGATAAACTCAGCTTTATAAAACAATATCAACGCTGCTGCGTCAGACTCAACCTCCCCACGCATTAACACCTGACACGACATGATCTGTGGCCCGATGTGACGTTCTGTGGCCCGATGTGACGAACAAACAGAACCAAAAAGACAGAAAAGAGCAGAAAACAATCCAATGGTTCTGAATCTGGTCCAATGTTTATCTAACAATAACCATATGTTCAGCAACACCTCTGCTTTTTGGCTGCCACTGTATGCACGCCTCTGTGTGTGTGGTTTGTGTGTGTGTCCATGATTTTGCTACTTGATGGGGACAATTTTTCAGCGCATGTGGTGCTGCGGAAGCCGCCGCCGCCCGAGCCGCCGCMAGAGTTCAAATATCTGAACTTTTCGCCGCTCGACGCGTCTCCCACTGAAAACCTAAACAGACGGACTGGAGAACTTTACCTGAAATCGACCATGTGCAGTTAGATTTTCTGGCAGGATATATCAGCACCGATGTGGATCAGCTGCTCGGGACAAAAAATAAATAAATAAAAGTCTGTCAGCTGGCAGCTTCTGGAGTGACGAAACTAACTGAACAAATCGCCTCTAAATCATCTGGTGAGTTAATTTTCTGCTGTGCGCAACGTTCGCTTGCTTTTTAGTAAATAAATCAAAGCCATTTTCTTTTCTTTTATCTTTATTTCACCCGTCGAGGACACGCTCCTCCCACACCTCACTGCTGCTGCTGCTTGTTCTGGTCTGAACACTAGTGCGTTCTTCGGTCTGAAAATAGTGCGTCCAACGAGAGGCGTTTTGCGCTTTTTGGCTGCTCAAAACGCGTTCGGTGTGAATGTAGCATTAGGGTTGGGCATTATCGTATTATGTGCAATTAATCACCAGAAAAACAATCGATTACTTTTTGGCACTTGACGATTAATACGATTAATCGTGATTTTTTTTTTTGCCAATATTGTCCAACCCTATTATGTGTGTGTGTGTGTGTGTGTGTGTGTGTGTGTGTGTGTGTGTGTGTGTGTGTGTGTGTGTGTGTGTGTGTGTGTGTGTGTGTGTGTGTGTGTGTGTGTGTGTGTGTGTGTGTGCACGTGTGTGGTGGGTGAGAAAAAAAAATTTGAAATTGTATTTTTGCAGAAAATGTGAACATTGAGTATTTTGCTGAAAATTGCTTAAAGAACCTGATTTGGTAAGGCTGCATGTAGCATAAAGCTATCTAAAAGCTAAATGTAGCAGATTAGCTAATAGATTGAAGCAGCAAAATTATAGCTTAACGCTAAAAAATAGGTAGCTTAAAGTAGAAAACACTAGCTAAAAGGTGAAAGACTAGATAAAATTAACAAAATGCTAAAGGTAAAATGTAACAAAGGCTAATAGTCAAAAGTAGCAAAATGCTTGCTAAAAGACAAAAAACTAGCCAAAAGCTGGCTGGATAACATCTAAATTAAGAAAAAGCTAAAAAAAAAAAACAGTCAAAAAGAATAAAAGTATCTAAAGGTTAGATGGTTTGCTTAAATCTAAAAAAATGTAGCTAAAAGTTTCAAAACGCTAGTTAAAACTACTAGCAAAAAGCTGGACAAAGCAGTAAAAAAGCCAACTGAATGTTAAAAGTATATAACTAAAAGTAGCAATAGGCTAGTTAAAAGTAGCAAATGACTGGCTAAAGCAGCAAAAGGCTAACTAAATGGGAAAACTAGCAAAAGGCTAGTTAAATGCTAATAGTAGCAAAAAGCTGGCAAAAACGAGAAAAGGCTAGCTAAAACCTAAAAGTAGAACAAAAGCTAAAAGTAACCAAAGACCAGCTAAGAGTTGAAAGTAGCAAATGTCTAGTTAACTGCTAAAAGTAGTATAAAGCTGGCTAAGCAAGAAAAGGCCAACTAGAACCTAAAAGCAGAATAGCTAAAAGTAACCAAAGAAAAATAGCAAAAGGCTAGCTGACGTAACTTAAGGCTAGCTAAAGACTAAAAGTAACGTAAGCCAAAATGAAGCCAGTTTGCTGAAGCAGATTTCAAACACAACCAAGTTTTTCTTGGTAAATAAACTGAACAGAATGTTTGTAAATAAAGTACAAAAATATAAAAGTTACAAAAACCAAAAAAAACAGAGCACCCATCTCCTCAAACAGCTAAACGTTCTGATTTACGAGCAGCTAAAACAGCTGAACTTTCATTCTCATAAGGTGCTGAAAACAATAGTGTGAACACTGACTTCACACAGTCAGGCAGAACTGAACGACAATAGGCATTGATTTAGGATTTCTATACGGATTCTGTCTCCACTCAGACCAAACTCTGGGCATTTGATAAGTCGAGGGTAAAAGACGGAGGTGATGGAGATAAAGGGGTGTTTGTTTTGTTATGTGGTATGGCAGCGGGGGGTGGGGTTGAGATTATTGTATATATTTTTTTTCAGTTTTGGTTTGCTCTTTGTTTGGTTTTTGAATAAGCAGTTTGGGCTTCAGCACCTGTGATAAAGGACATTCTTTAGCCAGAGAGCTCTGATTCATGTCTTTGAGTAACTCCTTGAGGGCGTTTCTTACTGTAGAGTGGCTCCACTGCTCGGGCGGAAGGTCCTCCAGCTTAGGACAACTGCAGAGGAGACAGAGGACAGACGGGAGACGAGGACGGAGGAGGGGACGGGTGAGGACGAGGATTCAGAAGGGAGAGAAAGAGGGGGAAGATTAGGAGAGAAAACAGAAGTTTTTTTTTAAATTAAAGCATTAACAAACATTTTATCACAAAACAACACATTTTTAAACAAATAAAAAAACATTTAAAAAACTTATTTACAGTTGTGGTCAAAAGTTTACATACACTTGTAAAAAAACATAATGTTATGGCTGTCTTGAGTTTTCAATAAGTTCTACAACTCTTATTTTTCTGTGATAGAGTGATCGGAACACATACATGTTTGTCACAAAAAACAGTCATAAAATTTGGTTCTTTCATAAATTTATTATGGGTCTGCTGAAAATGTCACCAAATCTGCTGGGTCAAAAATATACATACAGCAACAAAATTTGTCAATTTTGGTGATGTAGCGAGTTGTGTCAATCAAATTAGCTTCATGTCATGGCCTCTTCACTTCTTGTAAGTGATTCTGATTGACTACAGCTGTTGACTTCTCATGAGCCCATTTAAATAGGGCTCATTTGACCCAGTGATTAGAGTCAGCTACAAAAGCTACAATGGGAAAGTCAAAGGAACTCAGTGTGGATCTGAAAAAGCGAATTATTGACTTGAACAAGTCAGGGAAGTCACTTGGAGCCATTTCAAAGCAGCTACAGGTCCCAAGAGCAACTGTGCAGACAATTATACGCAAGTATAAAGTGCATGGAACAGTTGTGTCACTGCCACGATCAGGAAGAAAACGCAAGCTATCACATGCTGCCGAGAGGAGATTGGTCAGGATGGTCAAGAGTCAACCAAGAATCACCAAGAAGCAGGTCTGCAAGGATTTGGAAGCTGATGGAACACAGGTGTCAGTCTCCACAGTCAAGCGTGTTTTACATCGCCATGGACTGAGAGGCTGCCGTGCAAGAAAGAAGCCCTTGCTCCAGAAAAGGCACCTTAAGACTCGGCTGAAGTTTGCTGCTGATCACATGGACAAAGATAAAACCTTCTGGAGGAAAGTTCTCTGGTCAGACGAAACAAAAATTGAGCTGTTTGGCCACAACACCCAGCAATATGTTTGGAGGAGAAAAGGTGAGGCCTTTAATCCCAGGAACACCATGCCTACTGTCAAGCATGGTGGTGGTAGTATTATGCTCTGGGGATGTTTTGCTGCCAGTGGAACTGGTTCTTTGCAGAAAGTAAATGGGATAATGAAGAAGGAGGATTACCTCCAAATTCTGCAGGAAAACTTAAAACCATCAGCCCGAAGGTTGGGTCTTGGGCGCAGTTGGGTGTTCCAACAAGACAATGACCCAAAACACACATCAAAAGTGGTAAAGGAATGGCTAAACCAGGCTAGAATTAAGGTTTTAGAATGGCCTTCCCAAAGTCCTGACTTAAACCCCATTGAGAACATGTGGACAGTGCTAAAGAAACAGGTTCATGCAAGAAAACCATCACATTTAGCTGAACTGCACCAATTCTGTCAAGAAGAGTGGTCAAACATTCGACCTGAAGCTTGCCAGGAGCTTGTGGATGGCTACCAAAAGCGCCTAGTTGCTGTAAAAATGGCCAAGGGACATGTAACCAAATACTAATGTTGCTGTATGTATATTTTTGACCCAGCAGATTTGGTGACATTTTCAGCAGACCCATAATAAATTTATGAAAGAACCAAATTTTATGACTGTTTTTTGTGACAAACATGTATGTGTTCCGATCACTCTATCACAGAAAAATAAGAGTTGTAGAACTTATTGAAAACTCAAGACAGCCATAACATTATGTTTTTTTACAAGTGTATGTAAACTTTTGACCACAACTGTAATTGACACAGTTTCACTCTTCTTCACATGTTTGTTTGCATATGTTAGCAAAATATCTCATGAATCACTGGATGGTTTTTAAATAATTTCTGCAGTATAAAACAAACTGGAGGGGTTTTCTTCTACTGGAAGCTGCATCTGAATAAATTAATGAACAGTTTTGTTGGCGGGGCGGCTCGGTGGATCAGCGGTTACAGTTGTCGCCTCTCAGAGAGAGGGCTGCGAGTTTGACTCTGTCATGACCCTTTCTGTGTGGAGTTTACATGTTGCCCCTGTGCACATGTGGGTTTTCTCTGGGTTCTATGGTTTCCTCCCACAGACCAAACAAATGTTTGGTAACCCTAAGTTGTGAGAGGGATATTTTTGTCTTTACAGCTACGTTCACGCTGAAAATCTGATCATTTTTGCGAGTCGCTCACATCCGTAAAAAACGCAACCACCAGACGGCATCGCTGCGACACGCATGAAGAAGATGTGACGTCACATTCAGCTTCGCTAACACTAAACCCTTAAACAAGTCAATTAGTAGAGGCTAATGTTAAACAGCTAAGCAGGTAAAAATTAGCTCAAGCTAACAGCTAATTGCTAACCGCTAAGACGACGGTCACTCAGTCTGCATCACACATCTTGATTCCAGCTGGAGAGTGGTGAGACTGAGACAAACCTGATGATGCTAGCTTGTTAGTTAGTCGTTAGCGGACTTACATTTAGCTAAACCCAATGTAGTGGAAGCTAACTGGTCCGGTTTTCAAAGGTGAAGCTCTGTCACACATTAAAGTGCCTGTGACATCAAATTTTTGAGATAAGCATGAATGCATTTTTGGAAAGATAACATTCATAACATATTACAAAACAAATTTTACGCCGCTGAGATATTCACATGTGCAGTAACAGGAAGTGATGTCAAAGGTGAATGTCGGCATTTAAACAGAGCGTTGCTACAACGGCTAACAACACAGACTGTAGAGAAGAATCTGATGTTTACATTATTTTGAGTCACTAACAAAAGGAGATGAAGAGTTATAAAGCTTAAATGATATTGTTTTAATAAACAAAGACCAAAGATTTCATTTTATTAATGTGTTCCCCTTTGATGTCACTTCCTGTCTTACTTTGGCTGAGACAAATTCAAAACAAACTGTACCTCTGTTAGAGGGATTTGTTTGGAATAATTGTTGTGAAGAGTTAAAACTGTGTTCTTCACTAAGTAAAATTTAAAATAATGTACAAAAATTATTTGTTACAGAAATATACTAAGTTTTGACTGATTGTTTGCCGCTGCTAAAGTTTTCTTACACATTTGGTTTGAATTTCATTGGAATTTTAATTTTATAAAATCTATAAGAAAGATGTTGATTTGATTTTGATAACATATGAATAAGAAGTGAAGTATAAAAAGCTTAGGCTTCTACCTACACTTTTTTCAGTCTATGCCTTGTCTTTTTGACACTGACAGGAATTTAAAGATTGTGTGTTATTTAATTTCTGTATTTTTTTCTGTAGTTGTTCAGATGGATTGGTTTTGGTGATTTTTTTCATATTCAAACAATTATATTCAAACTATAAACATCAAAGAAGAGAAAAAGAAAATAGACCAGTTATGTGACCAAATGGGTAAAATCGTGTGTATTAGGGCAATTTTCTTAAGTATAAAGATGTTTTATTTGACTTTTTGTATTAGAAGTATACAGTATGCATGTCACAGGAACTTTAACGTTTTAGACAACTTATGTTAACTTATAAAAACTTAATATCTACATTGAAGATGTAATTAAAAATAAAGTGGAAGCCTCTTTTAGGCGTGTACGTACTGTAATGCTAACAAACTGATCAAATATATGACGTTTATTAGCTATTTAGACATAAAAATGTCATAAGTTGTCTAAAACGTCAGTTTTTGGTGACAAATCAATTCTGCTAAAACAAAAATTTGTTCTGCTATTAGCTGTTAGCTGATTAGCATAATGACGCCCACCACTGAAAAACCCTGATATTGTTTGGCTGGAGACATGTCCAGGGTGTCCGTCGTCTCGCGCAGAGATGGACACCAGCTCCTCGCAACCCGGAAAGACAGCAGATGGATTTTTGTTGGTTAATTTTTCGGTTGAAACTTTCAGCTCAAATTAAATGTTTTGGGACGAATCATTTTCCCACAAAAAGAAGAAAACTCAAAGTAAAACATGTTTGTGGTTTTAGTTTGTGGTTTGTGTGTGAAGTTCACGTGTTGATGAAGTGGAGCCACATCAGACAGGCAGAGCAGCACAGAAGCAGAGAGCTGAACACATGGGCCTCTGCTCGTTTTTCCTGCTGCAAGCGTCCCTCCAAGACAGACAGATTTCATTTGGCGCATCAAGCAGATGCATCTGGAGATTGCTCTGTCTCTCCCTCTTTCTCTCCCTGCCTTCCCCCTCTCTCTCTTTCATATTCTCTCTCTCTCTCTCTCTCCTGATTGTTCTGATTAGTTAATTACTTTATACAACACATCTGCTGGATTGATGCATGAATTATACATCAGCTGCATGTGGCGACTATTATTCCGTGTTACTCGTACCTTCCTGGCTTGTTGTGTTCGGTGAAACAGTTTAAGGTCTTACTGGGTGGATTTCTGCAGCGTTCAGGGCGGGGAGGAGAAAAGACAATAATAAAACCGACAATATGCAGCAAAATAACAGTCTGTTCATATATCAAACAGACTGACGTTGCTTTTAGTTGCAGGGAGAGTTATGAGCTGCAGACATCCAGCTCTACCTGCAAAAACACTCCTGGGTTTTTTAAATGAGATTTCAGATGGTGGGTGTGAGCGGCTGAACTGGGATTTGGTGGTCTGCATTAATGTTTCACATGTGCAGGGCATATGTTTGGCGTTTTGTTTTGGGGTTTTTTTTTTTGTTTTGTTTTTAAATCCAACCTGGTTGCGAGCAAACAGAGTGTGTTTCTGTTTGAGCGGCTGACCGTAAATCAGTCGTTCTGCATGTTGGAAATGTTAACAGGAGAGTGGAACAGACAACGGTCGAAGCTAACATCTGCTCGCGAGGAAAAACGCACAGCCTCGCACGTGCACCCGCGCCGTCAAGCCAACAATGGATTTTCCAGAACACCTTAAACTGCTCCAGCAGCCAGGGAGCCTCCGGGGAGATGGACGTGGAGGAGAGGAGGGGAAAGGCAGCTAGCCGCGCGTTCAGAGGCTGGCAAGCCGGAAACAAACACAAACCCACCGCCGCCGCCGCATTCTGGCTGCTGGACGCGTTCACGTCGGTGTGAGTGCTTGACTGGTGGAGGTGGGAGGAGGTGGGAGGAGGTGGGGGAGACAGAAGGAGAGGGGAGAGAGGGGGGGAGGCAGAGCAGGAACAGCTCTCCGGAGAGTTGCAGAACATTGGGTTAGCGTGCAGCTGGCACGAGCCTCCACACCAGCGCCAGTCGAATGTTTGTGTGTGTGTGTGTGTGTGTGTGTGTGTGTGTGTGTGTGTGTG